GCCGGGGGCGTGTCCTTTAGGTATGCGCATCCCCCCAATATAAATTTGGCCCGAGGTGGAGGACCCCTGTTGTACAGTACAGTAGTTGGCCACTAAGCTGCAGGGGCTGGATTTCCACCACTGGCACACCCGGGGCGGGGTTTGCCCCTTCCGCTGGGCCCAAAGAGCCACGTGTGAAGACAAGCACCCCGACTCCTCCTACCCCATCAACTTTGAGAAGATGATTTGTTTGAATTAGTCTTCAATACCGGTTCCCGCGGAGCGAGATCCACCTTCCTATTGCCCATCCGCGGTCATCCAAGTCAGGGTGGAGAAGTACCAGAGAATTATTCCGGCTCCGAAGACAACGTTCCCACTCCTATTTCATCCCTGGCGGTGAGAAATCATTTCCTGCTTTTGTTTGTTCTGTTCTGTTGTTTTTATATTTGTTTGAACGGTTTGGAAGCCGCCCAAAGTCATATATAGGACATTGGGGGGGGGCGCTAAATAAATTTAAACCCACCAACCAGCAAAAACAACTCTATAAGGGAGGCCAAACGGATTGCATCTCTTTTGCAACTCAGCGAGCAGCGGCCCCCGTAACAAACCACGATGGTGCGAAAGCGAGGACCCTCATTGCAATGACGTCATCACACGCAGGCCAGGATTGCACACTCGATTCAGGAAGCTGCGTACAATGAGGTCATCGCGCACGTGTCATTCAGAAGCGCCTTAAAAAGGTTAAGAAAAAGCCATATTAAGCCAAAGGTTAAGATATACCATATTAGCCCCCTTGAATTGTATAAGAGGCAGATTTAAGACATTGGGGGAAATGTGGCGTTTTGGAAGGGGCCACGATGACGGGCTGCGCGTTCTTTTTAAAAAGCTGCACGAGGAGCAGAGCGATCAACAAGGTTCCTCTAGCCGAAGCACGCTAGAATCTAACCTAAAGGGGCTTGGATAGCCCCACGTCTAAATGTGAGAAACACAACCCAGCAGCGGTGGAGTAAACGTCTGGAGAAGCACTCTGGCTTGGCAGACGAGAAGGAGGTCCCGCTTTGCCCCGAGTTCAACTCCCAGGATCTCCAGGCAGAGCTTTGAAAATCTCTGATCTAAACCCCCGGAGACTTCGCTGCAAGTCGGCATCAACAACGGGCTGCCCATATTGCAGGTGGAAAAACGGAAGCGGAGAGAACGCCGCTTGCCAGGGGGTGCCACAGACGAGTGCCCGGCGAGTGACTTTTTGCTGCTGTTTTTAATTTTCTCAATTCAGTTCCTTCACCCAGACTAAGGGAGGTTTTGTTCTGCAAAAGCGGCATATAAATCTGAAAACAAGGACACGCTGCCTGTCGCCCCCGCGTTGTTCGCTACGCTCGGACCCCGCTGGTCTCTCCCGTTCCAAAACACCGCTTGCACGGATTCGACGCCCCAAGTGTGCCTACGCGCACCCAAGACACCTCTCTCTCTCTCTCGCATAATCTAATCCACAGATATTGGGCAACTATTTAATTTTCTTTCATCCTTTAAAAAAAAAAAAACACCGGAAGGGGATCCCCCTTTCACAGAGATGCTTGCATTCATTTATCCGATTTCTATCTCGCCCTTTCATCAAAGACCATGCACTCGGGGCGGGGGGCAGACGGCTCACCCTAGACCTGGTTAAAATTCCTCTGCCGAAAACACTTAAGAAGCCAGCTACTCCGTCCCTTTCTGTGGCCCACCGCCCTCTCCCAGACAGGTGTCTTTCTTGTACGCCAAACCCCTGCTGCTGCTGCGTGTGAATTGACACGCACACACACCCCACCTCGTATGCCCTCTCGGCACCCATCTTTGCCACAAACCCGCCAGGCCCGGTTTTCAGTGCCCCAGCATCATTGGCTTAAAAATAACTCCCCGTGTCATGACCAGCAGTCATAAGGCTCCTTTTTTTAAACTCTGGGGCTGGTACCTAGAAGGCAAAACAGATCCCCCCCTCCTCAGAGCATCACCAGGAGCCTTCCCCCCCTGCGCCTCCCACGCACCCGGATCTGTCACAACACCCGACCGCCAGCCACCACAAATCACCCACTCTTGTGCTGCCACCTTAGGGAAT